TGTGTGTGTGTGTGTGTGTGTGTGTGTGTGTGTATTTGGAAATTAATATGGCTAGAAAAGAGGCCTTGCCAGAATTAATCTTTCTCCCCTCAACTACGAATCTGAGAAAAATGCAGATTGGGTTCTCCTAATTAGAAACTAGGGTTAGACCATCACATTCAAAGGCAAGTCTAATGTTTTTTTCTTTCTTCAGGTATGTGATTATGGACTTGCAAAGAAGTCTTTCTTCCTTCTAATTCATATTACAGCTTGCAGAAAACTTGGGATTTCTATCATAAATAGTGTGGATTTTACAGCAGGAATGCATAACTACAACATGGCCTGCTTTTTTCTGTTTAGTATGATGAGAAAGAGTGAAAAATATCCCTGTTTGGAAGATACATTCAGCAGTTCACGTGCACATTTCAGTTAATATATAGACATATGAAAGATGATGTGCATTTTTGTCTTGGAGCAGAACACAAATATAATTTTTAAACCCACTGGCAAGAGCAAAAATTATTATTACCACACAGTTTCTGAAAAAGTTAATTAACATTCATATGGAGCTCAATCTTCTGACCTTAGCCACAAGTCTTTACCAATGATGACATCTTTTGCTCGAGCTATTGAGGAGAAAATTGATTGTTCCATCTCCTCTGTAGCCTGCATAATATTCTCATAGCAGAAACAATTTGGTAATCAAATGGCCACAGGCATGACAAAGAATCAGAGAAAATGTCATAATAGAGGGAAATCCTGAGATTATCTGATTTGTAGAATCTTCTTATCAAACAAATCACATCTAAAATGAAACCTCAATATGAAAAGCAGAAAGAGGTGTTAGGTGGGTTCCTCATTTGAATTTAATCTTCACAGTTGGGCAGAACTGATCTTTATTCATGAGACTGCTATACCATCTCCACTGAGTCCTGTGGTTCACTGGGACTCAGAATAAAACCATTAAAAAGGACCAGAGTTGAGGTGAGGAAGTGAAGAAGAAGAGGAAAGAGCATCCCCATCTCTTTGGATCAATCAGTCCCAACCTCATTTTTTTTTCTTTTGATTTTTGGTACATATCCTGTTTGTCTCTTTCCTTTGTCCAATTTATTTCAGCGAGTGTTTACAGAACACCTGTGCTGTGCTAGCACCAGTTATCACCTCTGAACAAACAGAACGATGTTTTGAGTGTGACTCACACCTTGAAGTCCACTTCCTTTTCGAGATACTATCTCATACTCCGCAGAATTAAGCGAGGAGTGACCTTACACCAGTTCTGCCGTGTTTAAAGTCTGTGAATGAATAGAAAATGAGATTGTGTGCTGGGAATGTTTCGATACTGAAATGTTCTTTCCTGAAGCTCCCTTTTTTTTTCCTCTCAAGTCACATCACCGACCCACAGCAAAACCCCAGATTCCTGACAGAGGGTCCGATCTGAAGCCAAGTTGGTAAACCAGGCATTGGGCAGGTACTAATGAGTACTGAGTGTGTGCCAGGTACTAATGAGTACTAAGTCTCAGCACAGAGTAATGGACAAGACAGACGAGGTCCCCTGCACTCTGTGTCACTTCCATGTTTATGGGGGAGACAGAAAATTATAGGTAAACACGTAAGAAGCAGGATCATTTCAATTAGTCTTAAATATTATGGAGGAAACAATAGACATGGGAATGTAATATAAAACAGCCTGAGGATTGGATACCTTGATTGTTGATGTATCCAAAAAGGTGACATTTAAACTAGGACCCTGAGGAAGAGTCCCAACTCTCGATGTCCTTAGAGTAGAGTTGCAGGACCTTATAAGACCCCAGCTGAAGGCAGCACATGGTTTCGTGCTGCCAGGGCAAGGCTGTTCTGTTCTTAATTGGTGGCTAGACTTCATAAAGATTGAAATGAATAACAGCGAGGAAAGGCGGGGCGGCTATTGGAGACAGAAGCCACATTGTGATCTAGTTCCTTGGTAGATTGCTCATACTTTCAAGGGTCGTCAGTAGCACAACTGCACCTTAGTGTCTAGAGAAAGTGGTTGCACCAGCTGGGCCAGCCCGGGCTCCCTGTGCCAGGAGCTCCTGGTAATGGACCGGCTGGCTGCCATGTGAACCGGCACGCCCAGCGCTCCCACAGTGGGAAGCTGTTTACTCTCTCACTGGAGGACACAGGGTTAGACACAGTTAAATCTATAATCATTATCAGCCAGATCAACACGTTCTAACTGACTTACTTTCGTCATTTTTTTCCCCCAACAGTGGTTCAATGGCCTGTGAATGTTTGGCCTTCAGAGGATTTTCTTATTTAAATAAATCATTTCATGGTCAAAGGAAGCTTTTGTAACTTCATCATCAACTCCCCTTTTAGCCTTAGGGTTCAATAAAATTGAAAAATTTGTACCTGATACGGCCACTGTGTAAGTCAGACAAAAATTGCTGACAAAATATTTATTCTGTTTTAACCCCTGAGTGACACAATTGCTGGGAACAGGTATTATTTACTGCCTTAAGAGCTGAACTTTCACAGTTCTTAAAATGATGACTATTTCTAAAAATCGTTCAATGCCTAGGAAAGACTTCAAGATTATTGAAGAAATGTTAGACTTGGCTTCTTTCTTTAAGGAGTTTACAGCTTAGTTGAAGAAAAGGCTAAACAACAGTACTCAGTAGCAACATGCAACAGTACAAAGTTAAGCCATATCATGAGGGACAAACTAGAAGGATTGTGGAGGTTAAGTAGTCGGCAGAGGAGGCTGGATCCAGCAAGTAGTGCTTGACGAAAGAAGTAGGACTTAAAGATTGGGACGGATTTGGAGAGGAAGAGAGTGAAGTACTTCAAGTGAGGGGAATGATGGGAGCACACCCAGAGCTGGGCTTGGGCTGGAGCATTTCACGGGCCAGGGTGGAGATGCGAGCACTTGCAGCTGTGGTTCATCGATGGGGCGCTGTTAGGAAACGGTCAGATTGATATTGCACCGTGCCTTGTAAGGGGCACTGCAAGTTTTATCAGCTACAGATGCCTGGTGAAGAAGAGTTTGACGCATATTGATCTTCTGGGCTGCTCCGTGGACCTAGGCAAATAGCTGGTGATTTTGTAAATATTTGTTGTATTATTTGTAACTTGACCAGTGTCTTGATGGCTCATGGGGTGTGTGGGTGAATTTGAACTTAAAGACTGCCAGAAAGCCCCCATTCTCAACACGCAGTCATTACAAGTTTATCGACACACGACCACAAATAGAGAAGCACCTCAAGACTTACTAAGTGCACCTCCTTCTGTTCACGAACAACTCAGAGAGACACAATTTTCACCGTTACCCTCTATGCAATTTATTTTTGGTCTTTTCTCAGAGAAGATGAAGAAGTTACTCAAATCACTTTAATAGTCCAGCAAAATTAAGGGTTTAAAATTGTACTTTATGCTTTTTCTATTTATACTTGTGTGTGTGTATATATATATGTATATATATATAAAATCCATAATCTTCCATCTATTGGAGTCATTAGTGGAAATTTCATCCCTTCTAATGTTTGTTCATCATGTTCAATCAATCCAAAATTCCCCTTCAGTTATGGATTAACTCTTTACCAGGAAATATTTTTGCAACAGGAATGCATACTTCTGAAAACAATGGGCTCCTTTCTCCTTTATGGCTTGAGTCATTTAAGAATGAGTGTCTTTGAAATTTTTAGAAACTAACATAAATCTGAATTAGCCTGTATCTTAAAGAAAGAATTAGCATGGCCCAGCCTTAGTGGTTAATACTCCAACTGGAGGAAGAGAAATCCATTTTCAAAACATAAAGAATGCGATTAGGACCTCTAGTGGTCAAACATGTCCCTACCTCCCAGTCCAGGCACTGGAATCTTTATAGGATCCACAGCTCCTTCAATTCCAACAAGAACAGGGGCAATCATGGGAGTTCTTACAGCACCTGCCCCCCAAACCATGACACCCTTGATGTTAGCAAATGTTCTCTTTAAACTGTGGGACCTACAAAGAGACTGTGCTTTGTGACTGTGGAGACAGATGTCTCTGAAGTAACTTAGAACTTTCAGAAGGACCACAAACCTAGCAGGCACTTTGGGGAGTTCTAAGACCTTCCCAGAGTCTCACATCCCAGTTTGATTGGGGTGCCCCTGACATATCTGAAACAAATGATTAGATCTACATAAATATTTGTACACTTTATCTTGTAAATTGGATCAGCCTAGTGTATCGGTACCCTTTTTGATTCAGGAAATATTAGAGCAATTTGGTTCTTCTTAAAAGCAAAAGCATTTTTTAGTACTGTGTCAATATAGTCATAAAGAGTAGAGTACAGGTCCTTCCTGTATACTCTTATTTTTTTTTCTGTAAATTTGTCTTTATTCCTCTGTAAAATGAGGATAAATATATTAATACCTGGAGTACAATTTTATTAGATTTTGCTAATGAATGTCGAGCTTTCATAATGATGCCTGGCACATTATCACTCAATAAATAGAGGCTTCTATGATGCTGATGAGGACTTCTTAATTTCTGCACCTTCCCCTTCTCCCCACCTCTCAGAATCCACACCCATATTCCAATGTAAATACGAATAAACTAATTATCTAGCCAGAGAGAGAATAAATTTCTTAGCAGAGGACCTGCTGTTCAATATGTTACATTCGGGCAGCTTGGTTAGTTAGGGTCAGGGATGAAATGGGAATTTTGTTGTCCCTTTTGGAGCCTGACACATCTGGCAGGAAGTGGATTCTTCAGTTCTGATTCCAAATCAAATCATCAGTCAGCAATTTTCAAAAAGATCCTGAGAGCAAGCATGCTTATGTTTTATTATGTGAATTTAAAATTCTGGACTGCAGCAGACAGAATCCACGTGAATTTGGAGTCTTTCAAGAACAAAGAATAACATACGTCTTTCTTCTCTTCCTGTTCTCCATAGGTTAACCTCAGAGCCACCGATGTCAGGCTCATGCGCCAGTTGCTCGTTATCAATGAGAGCATCGAGTCCATCAAGTGGATGATCGAAGAGAAGGCCACCATTACCAGCAGAGGCAGCAGTCTCAGTGGCAGCCTGTGCAGCTTACTGGAGAGTCAGAGCACCTCCTTACGTGGCAGCTACAACAGCCTTCACGATGGCAGTGATGGGCTGGATGGCATCTCTGTGGGAAGCTATCTGGACACTTTGGCAGACGATGTCCCAGGCCATCAGACCCCTTCAGACTTGGACCAATTCAGTGACAGCTCCATAATAGAGGACTCACAAGCACTACACAAGCATCCCAAATTGGATTCTGAGTACTACTGCTTTGGCTAATTACCCAGTTTTTTGCATGGGACTGGTGTGCAATTAACTTGTATTTATCCTTCTTCTCTGCTGCTATATTTTTGGTGTGATTTTTTTTTTAATAAGACAACCTTTTTAAAAGAAGCTTATTTTGAAATTGCTTAATGGTATTTCTGTTGCTCCTAATACCTCTCATCTTAACTGATTTATTTTCTCTGTTACATCTTTATTTTTATTTATTACAATGATTTTTCTCCCTCTTTTTACAGTGGCACAAACAGAGTAGGGGGAAAAGAATAAGCAATAATTATGTTTTTGCTTTTGTTTTCAGAGCAAGGGGTCAGGGATTACAAGAAAATCTTTGCTAAATTTTACAATAAACCAAAGTCTGATAACAGTTAATTTTGTTGCTTGTGTTCTTAAATGGCTTAAGGTTTTATCTTCCAGAAGATATTGAGATATATTAATATGACTGTTTGCATGTTAGGTTGAACGAAATGCTTGGGACAAAATTAAGCATTATTTCTAGGCCATAACATCTTAGTGTATAATCAACAGTACTATCACTTGGAAGACCCCAACTATATGCAATCTGTTCAACTCACCCTTGTTGTTGATACTGTACATTAGCATTTTGTTATCAGTGATTCTAACTCAAACTGTAGAATTATATATGTGATAATATGTATTATTCTCCCAATTTAAAATAACACTTGAAATTAGGTATAAAGGTGATTAGAGGCAAAGATGTCCTAAATTTAATTATATTTTGAGATTCTGTTGACATTCACTTATATGCATTTTGAAATTCTGATAGGATATATAAACACATAGATGCTTACATACAGATGGATGAATAGATAGATAGGTATCCTTATCATGGGGAAGCAGAATCATTACTCATTTAAGAACTCTAATATATTCTTTTATCTTGGGATGGATAAATAATCTCTTAGTTTTCTGAGATAACACTTGGAAATATTGTAATTCATGTGGTAAGTGAACATTAGCTTTGATGTGATATTAATCCTCTGCATTTCTGTTATCTTGATAATTCCTAGAGAGGGAATATAATTAAGATTTCAAGCTGTTCTTTGTAAAATTATGTTTCTGCACTAAACACTTGACAACACGAATCAAAAAGTCTTCCTATTTATAACTGAGACATGTCCATACTCAAGAAATGTTTTCTCTCAAATTGCCTTTGTTATTATATACTTATTACACACTTGTCGATTTATTATATGTTTCCAAGACATATATTATTATTCACTTTCTAATTAAAATTTATCAGGACCTATACTTTGCACTGATCTTTTCCCATAAATTGCTTAATATAAGCCTCATCACAAAAATCTCATTAGGTGGGGATTCTCTCCATTCCATGTTTAAGGAAACTGAAGGACATAGAAGGCAGGTAACTGGGTCAAATCTCCTAGTAAGTGTCAAAGCTAGGATTTAAACTTCGGTCTATTTTATTTCTAATAATAACAGTCAATAACCTTTTTGGTACTTATAGACATTAAATAATAAAATGTGGATGAGAAAGCAAATTTAATACTATAATAAAAAAGATATGAATGACCATTTTTCCTCCAATTGGTGGGATCTATGTTTTCCAATACTGTACTCACTGAGCCCTTTCTTGAAGTTCCACATCCAAAGTCAGTTTTATGCTTTTAGGTGAATCAGGGAGTTGGCCACACACCAACGATTCCTCATATATTCCTCCCTTTCTATATACTTTTACTTTCAACTTAGTAAAGGCTGGTTGGTTGATTATTTTGTTTGGTTTTAATCTGGAATCAAACCAAACAATTTTTAGTACATATTGTTTACCAGATTAAAATTCAAGGGTACACATTATGACCTAGCAGAGAAAACATCCTTAAAATCAAGACCAATGAATTTCAAACAGAAGGTAATGAAATACGTAACCATATGTCTACAGCATTGCAAGGAGAATATTCTCAACAGGGGGGAAGCAGGCAGGCAGCAAGAGTAGGAGACATCAAGAGCAATTCTAACTCCTTTAAGGCCCAACACTTGCCTTGAACAAGCCATGCACATGAAAGATGATTTCTGTCCTCAGATCATAGTTTCAGATTGTGAATTCAATCTCGCAAATTTCTTTTACATCCTCCTTGTCCAACCAGCTTCCCCTGCTGTATGTCTATCCCATGCCCTCTATAAATGTACCTTCTGTGGAAAGGAAATGAAAAAAAGCACAAGAGTATAATGCAGGAGAAGTGTGTAGAATCATTTTCATTTATACATTGTATTTTAAGGAAATCATAATGAACATTGGCAGAACACTTGAGAATTTTTTTGGCTCTATGAGTTTCAATATTTTATATGCTATAAATTTTTTTACAAAAGATGGGAAATGTAGATCCTATGATTTAGGTGTATGAAATCACATATAAGCCAACAATGTTTTAATTGTTGATTTTACTAAGAGGAGGGGAATAGGCAGTTAAACAACACTAATTATGAACATTGGTCTCAAGTAAGTGAATGCATAGAAGTGCTTCATTTTCAACTAAAAATCCCCATAACTAATCTCTGACCTGGAGCATTTGATATTTGATCTCTGTCAGCACGAGAGGAAATGGGGTAAAAAGTTAAAGCAAAGTGTCTTTGAAACTATTCTGCCTGCACTGAGTTATGTTTTCCCAGAGAAAATGGAATTTTCCTGAATTACATTAATCTCTCTATTTTTATGGACTTAGTCTTCTAAGGGAAGGGAAATAATTGGATGTAAGGAATTTAGACAAGTTAAAGCTAGTACATTTTTGGCGTTTTGCAAGTAAAGGAGCTCTAAATGACCAACGTAGAAGTCTTAACTAAACTTCAGGGAAACTCCAAAGTTTATATTACCGGTCAGGCTCAAATTGCATAGTATAAAGTTTTAAGTATACATCAATGTTTGCAAATGTAATGGAGATTCTTTACTATTGAGTGGATTGTAAAGGCACTTGCCAGCAGTTCACTTGAGCCCAGGAGTTTGAGTCCAGCTCAAGCAACACAGCGTGATGCTATCTCAAAATAATAAAATAAAATAAAATAAAAAGTTATTTTGAGGTCCTCATTGTACTATCTCAGCCACAGTTCACACATTTGATCACTCTTTTTTTAAAGAATGTCTTCACCTGGCTTCTAGGACATCCCTTTCCCCTCATTCCCCACTGCCCGCTTGCTTGCAGATTCCATTGCTGGTTCATCCTCATTTTTCTCACTTCCAAATGCAAGGGTCCCTGTGCTCAATTCTCTTCTAAAATGGCTCCCCTTAAGAATTCATCCAGTTGCAGTTTTAAATGCTATCTACGTGCTTAGATTTCTAAATGTATGTCTCCAGCCCCGATCTCTCCCCTGAACACCAGTCTCCCAAGTCTACCTGCCCCCATCACCTCTCTACTTGATGTCTGATAAACATCTCAATCTGAACTGAACGTACACAAAACAGATTTTGCTTATTTTGCAATCTTCCACAGTTTGTAAATGGTGCCTCCACTCATCAAATTCTCAGCCCAAATCCTTGAAATCATCTTTGATTACTCTTTTTCCCTCACACAACCAAATCATGTGAGTTTCCCCTTAGAAATACATCCAGAATGCTGCAAATTCTCACCGCCACCACTGCTACCACTCTAATCCAAGTCACCATCACTTTTCCCGGGTGACTTGCAATAGCCCTGTTTTGTTTCTTTGCTTCCACCCCTACCTTCCCCACAGTCAGTGCTCAATACAGCAGAGTAATTTCTTAAGATACAAGTCAGAATTTTCCACCGCCTATTCCAACCCTGAAAGAGCTCTCCATATTTCTCACAGTGTAGTCCAAATCTTTAACATGGACTAAAAAATCCTGTGCAATCTGTCATCCTTCTGCCTATCTGATCTCATCTTGTACCATCCCTCTCCCTGCCCCTTGAAGCCTGATTTGCATCCTTGTTATTTCTTAAACATTTCAAAATCCAAGCATATTCCTACCACAGAATCTTTGCACTTTTCATCTCCTCTTTTTGAAATATTCTTCCCCTAGATATCTGTAAGCCTTGATTCCTCAATTGTTTGTGGTCCCCAATCAAGTGGCACCTTGTCTGAAAGGACTTCTTACATAGCACCCTGGCACTTTTTTTTTTCTTATTTTTTTTCATAACCCTTAGCAGCACAGCACCTAACACACACTTTTGTGTGCACTCTCTGCTTACTCACATTAGAATGTAAGGTCTATGAGAGCAAGAACTTTGTTTAGTTCACTGCCATAACCTCCAGGACCTGGAAGAATACTTGTCACGTAGTACATACCAAATAAATATTTTTTATCAGAACAACTAGTAAAGATTTTCTGAATGCCTTTGAGATGCCAGGCAATGACTGTGCTAGGTTCTGGTGGTGCAAAGATAAGGAAGATATGAATGCTGCCCTCAAAGGGTTCATCCGTCTAGTATGTTTCTCCAATAGACAGAATAATGCCCCCCACCCCATACCCAATAATGTCTATGTCTGAAACATTGGAACCTGTGAATATGTTACCTTACATGGAAAAAGGGACTTTGAAAATGTGATTAAGCTAAAGATCTTGAGATGGGAAGATGTGTGATTAAGCTAAGGATCTTGAAATGGGAAGACGACCCTGGATTATCTGGGTGGGCCTTATCAGAGCGAGGTAGCAGTGTCAGAATAAGAGATTGAAAGAGAGAGAGAGGTGAAGATGTGGGAAATGTTACATTCCTGACTGTGAGGGTAGAAAAAGAGGTCATCAGCCAAGGAATGCAAGCAGGGTATAGTTTCTATTTCTCAGCATGGACTGATACATGAATCTTACATTATTTCTATGTAATCACAGTTATCATTGTTTAAGTGTTTAGTAGAGCATTCCCATTAAATGTTAACACTTAAATATTCTCATCTATCATTATGGCTTACTTTTGTGTTGCACATTTAACCCAAGGCCTGGTTGAGCCAAACCAGAGACAGTACGGGGATTGTATCTCATCTACCTGTATTTGAGTGCTAGTTACATTCCAAACCTTGCCCAAAGTTGGCATTCCTTCAAGTTGTTAACACTGTGCACAGGGCCTGTTTGTCCTTTGTGGGAGGAAGAATTGTCAGAGGCTGCATGATTTCTAATGAGGGATCTTGTACCAATAGGGAAATATATGCGTTCTTGACATATTTAGATTATTCTCAGAGTAATTTACTACAATTATTTTTACACCAGCTAAATCCATCTATACGTTAAATATATTATGGTTCTATCAACTCTGCATTTTTTCACTCTTGTGCAAAGGAGTATTTGCAAGGTGTCAGAAGATCTTTACTCCTTTATTGCTGATGCATTCCAGCTTCTTGGCACTTGACCTTTTGCTCAAAGCATTTTCTTTGCGATTTTTATTAAA